ATTCCTGGTTCAATAAATGATGTCTTTTTGTTGTGTCCTCAGATGATAAAAGGAAAGTTAGTTCTCTGACATCCCTTCTATAAGGGTACTAATCCCATAAGTGAGGGTACTATGGTCATGGCTTAGTCACCTCCCAAAAGGGTCTATCTCCTAATAACATCATCTTAGGGGTTAAGATTCTAACATATGGATTTTGAGGGAACACAAACATTCAGACTATAGCAATATGCATGTTGGCTTTGTATATTTTCAAGTCCTTTGCACAATTTTTAAAGTCAAATTATTGACTTTTTGTTGCTGAATTATAGGAGTTACAGGTTCTAGATATTAACCCCTTATCATATCTGTGATCTTCAAATAGCTTCTTCTATTACATAGGTTACCATTTCACTCTAATTGTGTTCTTCTGAGGCACAGAAATATTAAGTTTTCATGTAATCTAAAGTATCTGTGTTACTGGTGTTTTGGACATCATATCTAAGAATTCATTGGCACATCCATTCTCATGAGGTTTTTCCCATAGTTTTCTTCTAGGAGTTTTATAGTTTCAGGCATTAGGTTGAGATCTTCAATCAATTTAGAGATAACTTTTGTTTATGGTGTAAAGTAAGGGTCCAACTTCAGTCTTTTCATGTGGCTATTCAGTTTTCCAAACAAGATTTGACAGAGAGGTTATCTGTTCCTACTATGTAGACTTGGCACCCTTGTTTTGATTATTATAGCTTTGTAATATGTTTTGAAATCATGAAGTGGGAGAACACTAGCCTTATTTCTCTTTCTCAAGAAGGTTTTGACTATTCAGGGCACTTTGAAATTCCATTATGACTTTTAGGATAGTATTTTTACATCTGGAAAAAAATGGCTTTGTAATTTTCATAGGCATTGCACTGAGCCCATAGGTCACTTTGAGTAGTGTGAACATTTTGGCAATATTAACTCTTCCAATTCATGATAAATACAGCATGATCTTCCATTTATTTGTGTCTGAATTATTTTTTCAGCAGTTTGACAATTTTTAATATGTGAGTCTTTCCTGAGTTAAGTTTATTCCGATTTATGCTCTTTAATGCTATTATAAATGAGATTGATTTCCTATTAGGATTATTCATTATTGTTATGTAGACGTGCAACTGATTTTTGTTTGTTAATTTTGGATCCTGCAGCTTTGCTCAATTCATTTATAAGTTCTAAAAAATTGTGTGTATGTATATGTATGTAATCTTTGGAGGTTGTTATATATAAGATCATATTATCTGCCAACAGAGATCATTTTACGACTCTCCTTCTAATTTGGATGACCTTTATTTAATTATTTAACTTATTGCTCTGGCTAGGACTTCAAGTCCTACATGAAATAGAAATGGTGAGAGTGACATTCTTGCTTTGTTATGATATTAGAGGAAGACCTTTTTGTCTTTCACCACTTAGTTTGAGGTTCACTGTGGCTCTTTTTGTAAAATAGCCTTTGTCATGTTGAGATAATTTCTTTCTATTCCTAGTTCATTGAGTGTTTTTAACATGAAATAATAATGAATTTTGCCAAATGCTTTTTCAGCATCAGTTGAGAGGATCATGATTTTTTTCCCTCTTCATTCTGTTAATGGGTGTATTGCACTGATTGATTTTTATATTTAGAACCATCCCTGCATTCCAGGAATAAATCCCACTAAATCATGATGTATAATCCTTTTAACATGCTGTTGAATCTGATTTGCAAGTATTTTGTTGAGGATTTTTTGCATGACTATTTATCAGGAATATTGATCCATAGTACTTTTATGTCATGTTCTTGTCTGGCTTTGATATGAGGGTAGTGCTAGACTCATAAAATTAGTTTGAAAGAGTTCTCATCTTTTCACTTTTATGAAAAAGTTGGTGTTAATTCTTCCTTAAATGTTTCAGCAGAATTCTCCAAAGAAGCCATACAGTCTTGAGCTTTTCTTTGTTCAGAGATTGTCTTTTATTCTTAGGTAATCTAGTTAGGAGCTTGTCAGTTTTTTAAAGCTTTTCAAAAAACTATCTATTACTTTGTTTATCTTTTTCATTGCTTTTTTATTCTTTATTTTCTTTATCTTTGCTCTAGTTTTCATTCCTTGGGCTAGCTTTGGGTTTAAATTGCAAATCTTTTACTTAACATGTAAAGTTAGGTTGTTGATTTGAGCTCTTTCTTATTTTTTCATATAAGAGTTTACAGTTGTAAATTTCCCACTTAACACTGATTTTGCTGCATTACATAAGCTAGATTTTTCCTTTTAATTTATCTAAAATATTTTCTAATTTATCCTGTGTTTTTTCCCTACATTTTAATCTCATTTACAAGTGCATTTGTTTTATTTTTATCTTTATGCATTGGGATGCAAAATTAGACCACTTTTACTTTCTAGGAAGAGGGAAATGAGAAAGAAAGATATCTGATCATCTGAACACTATATGGACACATTACACATTCCATTTGTTTCATCATATCCATATCCTTTTACTGACATAAACCTGAAAATGAAAACAACTCAAGGACAGCAAAACAAATTTGCACAGAAAAGTACCACATAAGAAGTGAATAAACATAAATTTCCAACTGAATCTCAAGTGAAGAAAGGAAAAAAATACTGTTTCACATTGTTTGACAAACCAAGAATAATAACTTGAGTCAATAAAAATGTGTTGACACGATTAAACTACTAAACATAGTTACATTTTTCAGTGTATATTTCTGAAAATATAGCACATCTGTTATAGAAATTCTTGTGCCCATTTCAGAACTTTGAGCATTTTAATTATTTAGTGATACAAAAAGGTTAATTACATTATGAAAAACAAAGAATAATATAATTTATTTGGTTTAGAAAAATAAACTGACCCATTCTACTCTCTACCCTTCTATAAACAAGCTGATTTTATACTAGCATCATTTAAAGATCATGAAATGATTTGAAGGCTAGGCTTCTGAGTGATGGGAAAATAATGTCACTATTTAGAGTCTACACACACATTCTGAGAGTTTAATACTTAACTGACAAAGACAGAAAGGTGGGAAGACTGATGATCTGAGGAACATAGGACTACTAACTCCTAGAAGGTAGTATGGTATATTGTCTGATTATTGTGAGGTGTGCAAATCAGGGATAGTTTGAATTTAGATGTATAGTTCTGTAATGACAACGGGCTAGTTATTTTCAATTATGACAAAGTCGAGGACAAACTACAGCTGAAGTCATAATATGGTCTAATATAGTGTTGAACAGAGGTTGGAAATTATGCTGCTCCCTTCATTTGAATCCTTAGAGCCATATAAGCCTTAAAGGAACTAGATATCCAGTAGTTTTAGTAATAAAACTCATTAGGCATTATTGACGAGAGTAAGAGTAGAATAGAAATGTTATCCTTTGTCCATTTAATTCTAGCAAATATGGCCATGATGAAGAAAAAATTAATTCATGAATGCAATTCAGTAGGAAGAGAAAATCGAAGAAGCTGCTTCAGTAAAAATTACTTGAGTGCTTACACAAGTCCTGGTGCTGAGGTTAGCACAGTGAGTAAGATAGAGTCCAGTTATTAAGATTTGCATAAGATGTTCCCATACCTATCATTAAAAGAGGAGGACTCTAAAGGGTTGAGGTAACCCAATTTCCAATGCAAAATAAACAAGTAAAGCCAGAGTTCATGATTAGAACTGTAGGTTTATGCTTCACATGAAAATACTCAATACATGCCTAGTTTTGAATGTAAGACAAAAATGGTTTCCTTTTGGTTGATAAAAATTATCTTGGTTTGAAATCTATGAGAGTCCTTAAATATTTTGAACTTCAGTGAAAAAATATAAGGAAATATTCAAATTGATAGTACTTTCTAAATCGTGTGTTTTTATTGAAGATGGTTTCACACCCAAGCATGCGAAAATTAGTTCTGGGGGTGTGAACAAATCTTAGACATTACAATGGTTTGTTGCCCTCCATAGTTCACCCTATTCAACATAATCTCATTTCCTGGCATTCATTTTTCTCATTGGGTTTACTCTTGTACACACAAGAAACACCGAGTTCATAGGTGATAGACAAAATATTTGCAAGATCAATGCTATAAACCTATGGAGAATAGATGGCTTATTGGTGGACTCTTTCCACAATTTGGTTGATCTCAAAGTCATATTTTGAGAGGTGGCCTTGGCTTACTAATGGGTGCCATTGACTGTCTGGTGGATGTTGCTTATGTTTGGGCCTCAGTGTTTCTGAATGTGAGGTGGGCTTTAAAAATTAAATGCAAGTAGTCGTTTATATTTTATTATTTAACTTTAACAAAGTTTTTCAACACATAAATAATTATGGAAAGTGCTGAAAAGAAAAAAATGTTGACAGTAGTTGGATAAATGTCTAACATTTAGTGACATTACCAATTATTTTCTCATATGAAGCAAAATTCAAAGTAATCTAAACATTAATGCTAAAACTAATTTCATTTTTCCAACTTTTTACAAAACATTTTGAATGATTTTAAGTATATCATTACATTGGTACTATTATTATGTACATATTTATACAATTTTAATTTTAATGTAATTTAATACATTATAATTAAGTAAATAAATTAAAGTTGCTCTACAATTTTAGTTATAGAGCTATGTTAAATGTCAGTAGCTTTTAAATATACTTTTAGTTTAATTTGTACGATTTTTATTCTACAATAAATAAACAGCATAAATTTTATACTTGTATATATGAAGATATTCACAGGATACATAAATAGATATACAGTAGATCTGTTAGTAAAATTTAATGGGAGTTTGAATAGGAAGAAATTTCTTTAAAAACTCTGAGGGGAAAGGAGGGGGAAACAATAATGAAAAAAAAAGATTCAGACACCTGTTCAAAATCCACATAGATAGTGCATAAAGAAACCAAAAACAGAAGTAGAAAGTAACCCAGGGGCATCAGAAAATGGAAACTGGCATGTACCCTATTTAAGGCTATGCACAAAGCAAGGCCTTCAGAGATCCGAGAGTTCAGGGTAACCCAACTCAACCAGCCCAGCAGCATCTGCAACATCCACAATGGCCTTGCCCTTTTCTTTGCTGATGGCCCTGGTGGTGCTCAGCTGCCAGTCCTTCCGCTCTCTGGGCTGTGATCTGCCTCAGACCCACAGCCTGGGTCACAGGAGGGCCTTGAGGCTCCTGGCACAAATGAGGAGAATCTCTCCTTTCTCCTGCCTGAAGGACAGATATGACTTCAGATTCACCCAAGAAGAGTTTGGTGGCAACAAGTTCCAGAAGTCTCAAGCCATCTCCATCCACCATGAGATGATCCAGCAGACCTTCAACCTCTTCAGCACAATGGATTCATCTGCTGCTTGGAATGAGACCCTCCTAGACAGATTCTGCACTGAACTTTATCAGCAGCTGGATGACCTGGAAGCCTGTGTGATGCAGGAGGTGAAAGTGGAAGAGACGCCCCTAATGAATAAGGACTCTTTGCTGGCTGTGAGGAAATACTTCCAAAGAATCACTCTCTACCTGGAAGAGAAGAAATACAGCCTTTGTGCCTGGGAGGTTGTCAGAGCAGAAATCATGAGATCTTTCTCCTTATCAGCAAACTTGCAAGCAAGATTAAGGAGGGAGGAATGAAAACTTGTTCAACATGGAAGTGGTACTCATGAACTAATACACCGTCGTGCATTTCACAAGCTCTGACATTTCAAAGACTCTTGTTTCTTCTATAACCGCAACATGAATTGAATAAAAATCATGAAATCCTTCTCTTCTTTAAGAATCTTGCAAGAAATGTTAAAGAGGAAGAAGACATGGTTCAACTGGAAACAATTTTCATTGACTAATACACATCTGCACTTTCATGAGTTCTTCTATTTAAAAGAGTTTCATTTCGGCTTATAACCATGGCATAAATTGATTAGATTTTTCAAATGTTTCAGAATTGTTAAACAACATCTTATTCAGCTGTATAAACACTAGTCCCTTATGGATGACTATGTTGATGAATCTATTTATCTATTTATTTAAATATGTATTCATTTAAATATTTATACAATTTAAATTATTTATTGTCCCTATATCGTGTGCAACTTTTCATTGTTTTGGCTATAACGAAATATATTCTTTATATATCAAGTTAATATTCTTTAGTTTATTAAATTTATACTATAGAAAACTTCTTCTTTTTTTTTTTTTTTTTTAAAGAGAAATACCAAGCCTGATTCTGAAACATGATTGAAGAATCTATGGCATCATTCACGTTATAAGTACAGTACAAATTGATGTTCTTTATGTCAGGTTGTATGTTGCCCCCAGGAGGTGAACATACAGATATACTTTATGCTCTCTTGTGTTTTTGACTTTTGTAGGAACAAAACCTAAAAACAATAATTCTAATTAATATCTGCTAAGATAGATGCTATAAAAATAAGAAAGCAAAACAAAATTGTCTCAGCAGAAACTGAAGTGAGACAGACCAGGAAATAAAAACCAAGCAGAAGACATTCTCTACAGTTGACTGCTACACATTTAAGTGCAAATGGCCACTGGCAATTTGATATTTGAGTGCAATTTTCAAGCAATGCCATGAAATGAAAGTCTGAAAACAGAAGTGGTCACTTAAGAAGAGGTTATAGAATGAGAAAATGACTAAAAATTTTCTCCTACAATTCTTCAACTTTAAGATGAGGGAAGAACCACAAAGGAAACAGATTTAGAATGGCTATATACTAGAACAAGCGAGAATGGTGGTAAGAGCGTCTTTAAAAGGCTAAAAGTGCTTAGAAGAGGAATTGGTACATTCATGGAAAATGTATATTGAGACTTCCTAGAACACTGGGCATGGGTGATCGTAGTGGGAGTTGGTTTTGTAGAACTAATCAGCAGAAATCGTATGGAGTAGGCAGAAGGGTAAATAAGAGAAGAGAAGCTGTTGACAATATATCTAGAAAATAATTTTGAGACGTTTGTCGTCTAAAATAGAGGAAATGGGAGGGACCTAGAAAAAGATGTGGATTAATTTTTATCTGCATAGTTTTCCATTTTGAGAAATATGTATGTCTTTAGATAGATTTAATGAATTTGATGTATTAGAAAATCATATTAATATATTTAATATTTTATTTACTTTAAATCATGGCATATTAAATTATTTATGATGATAATTTACCTTTATCTGTATTGATACTTTGTTGATTGCCAGTAAGCTGCTTTGCTTTGTGGGTTAAAACCATCTGCTACCGTGGAAAAATAGAAGTTAACAGTTACCTCAGTAAAGCTGGCTTATAAAACTAATAAGCAGAAATCATATTGTAGTAGGTGAAAAGGAAAAAAAAAAATAGAAAAGAACTCCCACGATCATTTTTTAGCCTAGGAAGTCTGTTTACTTCTTTCACTTTCATCATATTCAAACTTTCATTTGCTTTTGTTTTGCTACCATGTATCCAAATGCAAAGACAATTTCTATGAATGCCGAATGAAGAAAAAAAAACGATGAATTAAAAATTATGCAAAATGATGGGACAGACTCTTTGGCGAGGTGCCCTTTGGACTTGCCTATGTTGGTATTTACCTCAAGACGAAATGGAAAGTAATTCAGAAGCAGGCATATAGCACTAGACTAGAGAAATACTATTAAAAAATGAATGTTTAAATTTTTAAAACTCTGAAACCAGTAAAGAAAAGCAGGCTAACACTATCTAGCATCATATGCTGGACCTCATTGCCCTACGTTTTCACTTTGAGACAAAGAACAACAAACTAAGAGACTCTGCACTGACTGAAAAAATCTAAGGTTGGTTATTAGTTACTTTTGTGTTCTCTTCTGATAGGAGAAAAATCATCATGGAACCACCTGTGATGAGCTTAGAAACTTTTTTTTTTTTTTGAGTTGGAATCTCACTTTGTCGCCCAGATTGGAGTTCAGTGGCCGCTCCCGGCCACCGCAGCCTGGACCTGCTGGGCTCTGGCAATCCTTCCGCCTCAGCCTTCCACGTAGCTGGAACTACAGGCGCGCGCT